TCACTCAAGGGGCAAGTTACATTGATGTTTTTACTGTCAAAATGCAGGCTAGAGGCTTGATAGAGTGGCTGGAGTAGATTTACTTTACACCTCATGCTTGGAAAAGTCAAAAATGGCAACTTTGGCAATGAACTTCACAACTTTAATTCCATGCTAATTCTATGCAATCTTTCTGTTCTAACATTCTTGAGATGTTCAATATATCAGGTAACATGAGTTTGGCAAGTTAAAATTGGCCCACTTGGGTGGGAGAGGTGCTTTTGCAAAATTGGCCAATGTGGGACTAAAGTGACAAAACACCAACTTTGAACACATGTATCTCTCAGCTCATAAATCACCTTGAGATGTACTTGTACTTTTTAGAAAGCCCTCACATAGTACTAAAACTTTCATGTTGACTAGAAGTCTTGATTCTATTTGAAACTAGGTGAAAAGTCCCCTTGAAGTTGGCTGATTTTAGGGTTCCTTAGTACAAAACACTTAGAATTTTCCAAGTCTTTTTCCTCCTCTTGTAATGTTTTCTTCTCTAACTCAAAAACTAAGCGTTTTCTGACCATGGACCACTAGGACACTTTTGTAGATTTTTTCAAGAGCTTTCAAATGAGACTAGAACCAACTCAATTGGATGTGTGGTTAAGGAGTTATGGTTTAGCCCTTTTCGAAACCCTAATTTCCTAATTTCTCGATTACTCTCTCATCCTTGATCCAATGATCATGAAAATTGATATGCAAGTCCATTATGACATAAGGAACAACTTTGATTCACAACTTGGACTCCAATTCTCAAAATTTGAGGAGTTGACTTTTCGGTCAACCGTACGATCGATCGGTGCCTGTTGATATTTTGGATATCCTGAGACTTTGATACTTCTTGAATAGTCTTTAATAAGCTATATGAACTTCATGGACCTCAATCCCACCATTAAAACATCTTCCAACATCAAAGTCAAACCACAGTTGACTTTTCACTAGTTAAAAACCCTAATCGGGGCCTCTTGACTGCACTGTTATTGATTCTGAAATGATTTCTTCAAATTGACTTCTCATTTGACTTTGATATTATATTTGATTTCATTCCATGATTGAATTGGCCCAAATCATTGGTTGATCATTCCTTGGTTGTTTTGAATTTGTCGGTGCGAGACCCCTGATTCATCTGTAACTTGACAATAATGAACTTGCACTGATTTAGGGTTAGATAATTCATGACCATGCTTCTAAAAATGATAATGAGAATCTAAGGGGTCAAAATTTGGGGTACAACACCTTCTTCAGTAGAAGGTGGAGGGGTCTGAGATGTAGATGGAATGGCATGAGGTGAAGGCCGAGCCCCAGGAGGTAAATGACGGGCCTGGGGTGAAGGGTGAGCCCCAGGAGTGGACTAAATCTCAAGAGTAGATTGCGCCCCTGCAGTCGAGACCTCTTCCTGACAAGAGGTACATGCTGCCTCTAGTACCGGCTGGCTCCGCTCCTGCCAAAGGATGCGTGCTAGGAAACCCGTTCATGCCTTAGTCGGTCGGCTCTTTCAGCCATTATGCATGCAAGGTAAAATTAGTCATACAATGAGTTTATGCAAATGAATAACACAAACAAGACAATTATAAAACAAAACTAAATAAAATACAAACTTAGGAAAATCCAGAGATATATCTACGGAAACATTCCGCAAACGTATCTCCAGAATCCCCTAGATTACATGAAACGTTGAATTTTTTCGAAAATGTATCTCCGAAATTTTCTAAAACTCGGAGGTCGCGACAATGGCTTCCTTTGCCCCTTAGAATGTGAAATTTGAAGTCCTAGTCGTCCATTTGAGCCAACAAACAATACATACACTTACTTTAAACTATGTTTTAGTTGATTTCTAATCATTTCTACACCTAACAATGAATTCTAACTCGTTTACAACAAAACTCGAATATTTACCAAAAACTCGAAAAACTTATCTGAAATTTATGATTTGAAAGATGTTGAATGATGAACTGGATGCTGCATGATGATTACTTGAGCCTCAGACGAATGAAATCAAATTTGGTGAACTTGAAGAAATTTGGGGATGAGAGAGTGAAAGAGTTTGTGAATGAAAATGAAAAGTGAGGGAGGAGAAGAAGAGTCTAGCGTTTTAATATGCTCCAAAACGTTGCGGAGATATATCTCCGAAATATTTCAACGATCAATTGAGTTTTGGTGCGTCCGGAGATATATTTACAGAATAATGTAACGTTTAATTGAAATTTGGTGTGTCCGAAAATATATCTCCAAAATCAAAAAGTATATATGAAAATTAACACAATAAAAAAAAAAGACATGCAATAAAAAAATGCTCTATTTTATTTTCAATATTAAATATAGCAGAAGTTGAATCAATAAAAATAGATGTATTTTAGTTCAAAATTTTGGTCTAATATACTAACTTTTATTCACCCAATTTTCTCTTATATTTAGAAATATATGTGACTAATAATACATCTAACTCTTTTACATCTTAATTTTAAATCCAATGACTGATCAAATCTACAGAATATGATTAGAATATGATTAGTCATACTATGAAAAAGGACAAGTAACGAAAAGATGGCTGGAAGTTTCAAAATTCTCTAAACAAAAAACTTTCCCCAACTTCCATTCTTTCTTACAAAGGTAAAAGAAATTGACATGTCTGTTTCCATTTGGGACGATTGCGACAAAGTTTGTTTGGAAAAGTTCCATATCTCACACCATCCTTATCCGTATAATCATATCGTATTTTAAAATAATACAAATCATGTAATTGTGCGCGCGTGTATATATATATATATATATATATATATATATATATATATATATATATATATATATATATATATATATATATATATATATATATATATATATATATATATATATATATATATATATATATATATATATATATATATATATATATATATATATATATATATATATATATATATATATATATATATATATATATATATATATATATATATATATATATATATATATATATATATATATATATATATAACATATTACAAATTTGTATTGATCCGAATATAATCACTTACACTTAAAGAAAAAATAACGAATGTTTGTCAATATTTAATATATTTGAAAATGAATATATATATATATATATATATATATATATATATATATATATATATATATTTTTTCTTTTTATCAAATATATTAAATATTGACAAATATTATGTTGGGAAAAATGTGAGTTGTTGAAAATCAAGTGTGAATTCTAAGTCCCACATTATTTAGAAAAGTGGAGGTTAAACGCTTTATAAGTAAGAGAACCCATACATATACCTATCACCTTAAGGTTTTAGGGGAACATGTGGTGTCTCTCTCACTTGTTTGAGGTGAGTCTTTAACATTTAGGTGAGTATTTAACATTGGATGAAAGAACATGTTAACAATAAGATCATAAAATAAGAGTGAGAAAATAGGGTCTAATAAAAGTATAATACAATTCCATGTGTTATATGAGTCATTTTTTAATGAACCAACAGGAACCAGACTAACGCTCAGGCACCAGACCCATTAACAATAGACCAAACTCAAATGTAATAGACCAAGCTCAAATGTAACACTAAAAACCAGTAAGCACCAAAGGGACAAACAATAACTCTTGATGCACTGTTGCTTCAAACACATGATATGGTTCTAAAGCTTGAGCAAGAGTTCATTGATGATCTATTAGGGAACCAACTTCAAGTCAAAATAACACTCTTATCCTCCACCTCTTTCACATTTGTTGACGTATCAGAAAAAAACTTATTATTATGAGGCGACCAAATAGACCACGCCACAACATATCAGATCATAATAAATCTACCCTGTGAACTTAGTCTTAGGACCTAAAAAAAATGAAAATCTCAAATAAAATTTTAGGATCCCTAAGAAGAGGCAACTCCACCCCTAACCACCTAAAAATCCTATACTAAATAGTAGAGGGAAAACTATAGACAACAAACCAATAGGAGGTCAACTCAATCCAATCTTCACACAAAGTCCCTTATAGATTAAAAACGCCTATTCGTTTGAACATGTTTTCCAGACAGAAACTTGTCTCGCCAAAGCGCTTAAGAAAAACTATCATATTTGAGGAAGTCCAACTCTTCCAAATCAAAGGCAAAGAAGGAAGTACACTGATTTGACGGGCCTTAGAGATAGGACCAAGTTCATATTGGACTTGAATAACATATGTTGCAGAGAAAACATAGTCTATAATGTGTCTCTAAATCCACCGGGCACTTTTCGCAAAAAAAAATATATTGGACCTTTGAAAGATTCAATAAATAAAAGGTTCTTCATAAGCGAAGAACAATCTCCACTGTCTAAAATTCCAAGACATTTTCCCTTGATTCCACTTCCTAATCTCGCCCAAAACTACTTTTAAATATTCAATATTATATACCGCAATATTCAATATGAAACTCAATACTTAAACTTAACAGTTCTCAAATATTTATTTTTATAAACTACAATTATTAAGTATATATTAATCAAGAATTATTAATGATTCTTGTTTACAAATATTTTGAATATATATATATATATATATATATATATATATATATATATATATATATATATATATATATATATATATATATATATATATATATATATATATATATATATATATATATATAAAACTTTTATTATATTATACCGGAAAATAAAAAAGTGGTTTTAAGTTAGGTTTCAATATCTATCTTCTTAATTTCCTCTGTTATCAAGTATTTTTGTTAACTTATATAGGCTGTTTCGTATGTAATTTTAAAAGTTTCAAATATTTATGTAATGTTTTATTCTACGTATTCTTCCTTACTATAAATAGAAGTCTTATATCCACTCACCCTTATTTCAACTATTCAACCCAACAAATTTAATATTTCTCTATAATTTCAAGTTCATCATATCCCTTAAATTTCTCTCTTAAACTTCTATATCAGAACAATATTAATTAATATTCTAAGAAAATGAACAAGTACGAATTTTTCAAAAGAAGTATGCAGTTTGTTTTCGCAGTTTCTCTATTTGCTTTGTTTGTATACTACTCTTCTGGCTTTTCCTACATACACCCCCCTCAGAATTCTTTCAATGCTTACTTCTCAACGTGCCTTCTCTCCATGCTTGAAAAAAAATACATGTTCCTTATCTGTAATCTCATCCTTGCATTTCTAGCCAACACCATTTCCTCTTCCTCGGATCACTTTGACTATGACATTCAATCTCAGTTTTCCAATGATCTTGTGGTTGATATTGAAGATGAATATAGTGAAGTACTAGTGATGAAAAAGGAAGAAGAGTTTTATGAGGAATTAGTATCAGAAGAAGGAAGTTCAGAGAATGAAGGTCCAATTGAAGAAGAAGAATTAGGAGATGTTAATAGAGATGAACTCAACAGAAAGTTTGAAGAGTTTATAAGAAAAATGAAGGAGGAGATAATGATTGAACCAAAAACACACCCAATTGCAATCTAGTTTGCTAGTAAGGGTGCATGTGATTGTTGTAATTAAATCATACTTTGTCATATGTTAGAGTTGTTCAAAAACTAATAAGATTTTAAATTAGAGTTTAATTGGGATGTACCGATAATGTAAAATAATTTTACACCGTTATCTAATAAAAATATATTAATTTGTCATGTCATACAGTTAATTTAAAATTTAAAGTCTGACGTGACAAAATGTATGAGAATGATTAATCCAGTATACAATAATTTTATAATAATAATGCATATCAATTAATGATTGTGAGTATTTTGTTTATAAATTTAAGAAATACTATAAAATAGTATAATAAAATATTTAAATGTAACAATGTGATGAGATTGTTGGAATTATATTTTATTAGTTATTTTTTGTTAAGGTATCTTAATGATCAATTGTATATATTTAAGTTACCTTGTCAAATATAATTTATTCTTAAATAATATAGAGATTAATCTACTAGTTTAAAATTTAAACATTAATTCTCCATAAGATTAATCAAGACGAAAATATAAAAAAAACCCAACGGGGATGGAGACCCTAACCCCAATACAACCATCATAATAAGTTATATTTTATAACTCCCTAACTCAGAAAAATAACTAATCAATTCAAAAATTAAAAGAACAACTAAGGAAACTTACATCACTCAGTGATATAAGTAATTTTTTCGATTGATTCTCGACCTATTTAGTCACCACCAAACATTAAGTTATGTAAAATCTTGTCTTTAAATAAAATATGATTTCTCTCGTATCATATGCTCCAATATACCGTACACTAAATACCAACCGCATTATCAATTCACATCTTCGAAATATTCATTTGAATCCATGCTCGTAGATGATCACAGCATGATGAAGCCATTATCTCATCTACTTCAAACCAACAACACATTACACTCCAAATCATCTTGGATTTGATACAGTAAAAAAACATATGTTGTATATCTTCATCACACAAAAAACAAAACACACACACCCTTTCGTGAAGATTAGAGATGATACCCTGTTTCACTAAATTACCGCGGGTAGACAATCTATCTATAATCACACGCCAAGCAAAAATTCTGATTTTCAACGAAATTGAAGCTTTCCAAATTAACTTCAAAGTGTATTTCCTCTCCCCATCCTCCATATGTTCACCACTTTCTTCTAACATCCTAAGGTAATAGGATTTAACAGTGAAGAGCTTCGAAGGTGAATACGGCTATATCATCACATCTTTGCCAGAAACAATCAGACAAACTTCACACAGTAGTCTCTCAAGTGACACGGCTTCCTTTTGTAATGTCAGTTCATCTCCAAACGCGCCCCTATTAAAATTCCAGCACCACAAGCCTTCAATCCACTGCCCCATTTGATTGACATAAGCCAACTGCATATATTAGAATTATTAAACAGACTTGGATACAACAACTGTAGTGGTTTATCACAAAGCCATTTTGATTTCCAAAATAGTATCTTGCTCCCCTCCCCAAGCTTGTATGTTACCAAGTCCACAAAGTTTACTTAGATTGCATCGACACACCATGACATCAAAACTTTCCACCATTGGGAGTATGAAGTTGCATTCTGAACTTTTTCTTTGGAGAAAATTTTGTGTACGATATCTCTGTATCTATCCTCTACAATTCATCTATAAATCGCTCCCGTATCATTGAGTAACCTCCATAGCCACTTGGTCATTATTGCTTTGTTAAACAAATAGACATCTTTGATCCCTAGACTATCATTAGCTTTTGTTTTGCATACTGTTTTCCATTTTACTCAAGTCATACCTCTCGAGTCCTTTGAGCCGCACCACAAAATTTTCTTTGAATTGTAACTATGGAATGTATAACTTTCCTTGGCACGTTAGTTAAAATCGGTAAAATGACAATTAACAAATAGAAAAACTCTCCTCAACCAATAATAAGTTAGATGAGTATCAACACATCCAAACGCGAATCAATTGAATATTTTTCAAGTCTATTGTATTTATGGTTACCAATACTTTATACTCAGTCAAAACGTCATATAAATACATAATTGGACATTACAATGAAGTTAACTCAGTCAAAACATCATATAATTACATAATTATACTCATTCAAAACATCACATATTTATGGCTTATTATTTTACAATCAGCCTATAATAATATTGTAATACTCTATTTTTTACCCCTAAGATCCCACATATCATTTGCATTTCATACCACAAATAAGATCGCAAGTTTTTGTTCTCTTGTCTTCTTCTATATGTTTATTCTTGAGAGAGATCACTAGGCACTCCTGTTTTCTTGTTTGTTTGACATTTGTTTATGTTTATGTTTACTAACCATTATTTAAAATCCAAAAAATGCTTGTTTTTCCTTTACTAACTTTTTCAGGAAGAATTTGGATCAAGGATATCAAATACCAGATCCTCAGCTCAAATAAATTTCATCTAAAAAAAGTCAAAGTTAATTTGCAAACAATTTAAAATCATCTGATTAGGGTTTCCAAGATTTAATTGATAATTATTCAAGAGACTCCAAGGTTCATGTGTTTATTTCCATGCCTTCTTTGACAAGCAAAAGAATCGAGCCAGAGCCAAGACAGTACATCAAAAAGAATTTTTTCACAATTTTTGCATGTGGTAATCGATTACCAGTATTAGGGTAATCGATTACCCTGTGCGTTTTTTGTGAAAATGTGTCAAATTCAAATTCTGCAGCATTTTGACACCAATTTTTAAATATTTTATCATGAGAATATTTTAGATCACCTTATTTTAATTCTCCTACCTCATCACAATTAATTCTCACCATACACCTTCACTAATCACCACTTGATCTTGATTTTGCCTCCAAATTCAAATTCCAAGTCTAATTTTGGTTCCAAACCAAACTCCAATCCACCAAAATTTCCAAGCCAAAATCCTATAAATTGAGGTCTCATTTCATTCATTTCAGAAGCTTTTAATAGCCAAATTCATCTTGTCAAATTTCTTCTAGATTCTCTCAATTTTCTCCAACTACCAAATTCACTAAAGCTCTTTCTTCCTTTGAAAGTTAGTAAGTTCATCATTAGAACTTACTAAATTTTGAGCTAGACCTTCATCCATTCACTTTTTTATCATCTATTTCTATAGATCAAGGCTTTGGAGTGTGGTTTTTGGAGTTGATTTGAAGTGGTAAACTCTTAATCCACCATTGTTATTCTTGATTCAACCTTCACAATGTGATCTATTATTGATTCTTGTTGCTTGATCTTTAAATCTTGCAAATTATGTTCCATTGGTGTTATTTGCTGTTATTTTACTTGAATTTTCGTGCTCAATTGCATCCTTGATCATGAGGTGTTTGAATAAATGATTGATCAAGTTTTTTCACATTTTCAAAATGGATTTGCTACTGTTTTAGCAGTGGTAATCGATTACCAGCATTAGTGTAATCGATTACCCAATGTGTACTTTGCCATTTTGACTTTGCTTTGGGATTGTTTTGGTTCTTTTCTCTTCTTCTTCCATCTCCATTTGGTTTTTTTCTTTGAAATACACTTTTAAAGGTCCCATTTCTCTTTAAATTTATTGGACTTATGGTGTAGATGAAATTGGATAAACATTCATTAATTCAAATCTATCTTTAAAGTGAATTGTTCAATTCATTTTAGGTGCTTTGAGTTAATGATAAGTTTAGTGCTTTAATACACCAAGATGAGTGGATGAACTTAAAGATGGAATAACCTTGAAATTGTAATTCATTTTGGCTTTCCCTTTCCTCTTCTCCTTTTTCTTTTGATCGATGAAAACTTTCGATATCATTGGAACTTATTTTAAGTTCACAATGAAGATGAGATGGTTACCACTTTTCTTTTTGTACAATATTGCTTTCGGAGAGTGATCTACATATCACTTCTCTAGCATGCATTAGCACTAACATTGTTATTGATCAGCCTCAGATAGTCGTGGTTTCTACATAAACTCGACTATGATTGCTTAACATAATGCTGAATTGTCCTGTATTAGAAAATGATCATTCGTGACTCAAACTTATGTTTTAAATTCCAAGTATGGATGATTATTTTTAGAAATTGTTAGTGAAGAAGAAAGTTGGTTAAGATGCTTTTCGTTTGTGGGAAAAAATATGCCAATTGTGTTGATCGATTGTGATAGTACTGCAACTATTGCAAAAATTAAGAACCGTTATGGTAAGAGACATCAAATAAGAAGAAATCATATCATTATTAGAGAGTTTATCTCTTAATGAGTACAAGAGTGGGTCATGTACACACTAATAAAAACTTAGTAGATCCTTTAATGAAAGGATTATCCTGAGAGAAAATCCATAATATATCCAATATGATGCGACTAATGCCTATAGATAAGTATGGTATCCCGATCTAAAATATTAGAGATCCCAAGAGTTATGTTTAATGGGTATTAACAAGTTGTAAACAATATATAAAGGTCATGCTAGTATTACTAAGAGAAGAATGAATCTTGAAGCAATAAAGGATGAGATAGTAAAACTCTTAAGGAGATATGCAATATTACTCTTGATAGACTCATCTATGTGGTTGTGGAACTTAAGTCAGTTCCTATGGAATTTTGAGGCTGAATTCCTAGAGCCTTAACTAAATATGAATAGACGTGTAAGACCATTAAAGTAAATGATTATACAATACACCTTAAGAAAAGTTTGTGTGCATATTTGATGCCTAAGATAGAGTTTCAGAAAATTAGTCACTCTTATTGAATCATAATCTTACCAATTATGCAAAGGTTCAAGTTGTAGACACCTCTGCTTAGAATAATTATAGAAAACATTTGACGTTACTTTTGAAACTCTTTTTTAAACTCAAGCGGGGATAGTTGGAACATTTATTAATTCCAATATGGGGATGAATTTGAAAAAAATTCCTTAAGTCTCACATTGTTAAAAAAAACTATGTCGGTTTGTGTATTAATTGAGAAAATTTTATATCTCACACTGCTTAGCCTACACACTAAAGTTATTTTCCAACA